AGAGAGAGAGAGAGAGAATTTTTAATATTTATTTTTTAGTTCTCGGCGGACACAACATCTTTGTTGGTATGTGGTGCTGAGGATCGAACCCGGGCCGCACGCATGCCAGGCGAGCGCGCTACCACTGAGCCACAGCCACACCAGAGTTCTAATTTTTTTATGTTTGTTTTTTAGTTATAGGTAGACACAATATCTTTATTTTTATTTTTTTAGAAAGAGTGAGAGAGAGAGAGAGAGAGAGAGAGAAATTTTTTAATGTTTATTTTTTAGTTTTCAGGGGACAGGACATCTTTGTTTGTATGTGGTGCTGAGTATGAACCCGGGCCGCAGGCATGCCAGGCGAGCGCGCTACTGCTTGAGCCACATCCCCAGCCCAATATCTTTATTTTAATGTGGTGCTGAGATTCAAACCCAGTGCCTTACACATATTAGGCGAGTGCTCTACCTTTGAGCCACAACCCCGCCCAAGAGTTCTATTATTTATTTATTTATTTTTAGATGTTGATGGATCTTTATTTTATTCATTTATTTATATGTGGTGCTGAGGATCAAACCCGTGCCTTGCACATGCTAGGCAAGCACTCTACCACTGAGCCCCAGCCCCAGCCCCAAGAGATCTATTTTTATACATGGGCCGGCCACCATTCATTTGTACGTCCAGTTTCGTAGTCTACCAGGATCTGTGAGACACACAGGATGTGTGAAAGGGCTCTGTGTGCTGTGCAGGTTCTAGTGTGAGGGAAGGCCGTGGGAACCTGATGGAGAGGGCCTGTCTCATCAAGATGAGGAGACTGACTGTCAGCACTGGGTAGTGACAGTAACAAAACCAGCATTTAGTGAGTGTGAGTCACTGCCTTGGGCCTTCATAGAACCCCCACAATAATCCTAGGAAGTAGTTACCATTAATATCTTCATTTTTACAGATGAGGAAACTGAGGCACAGAATGATAAGGGAAATTGCCTAGGATCACAAGGTCAGCATCAGAGGGGAACAATGGTTATATTGTTGTGCTTTGCAAAGAATTATTTATTTTTTGTGGTACTGGGGACAGAACGCAGTGCCTTGCACAAGCTCGGCAGGTGCTTTACCACTGAGCTATATACCCCTTACCCTGCTTTACCCATAATTAGTTGCAGCTGTGTTCCTCTAAATGCTACCTTCTCAATCCAAGTTTTTGCCCTGGGCTGGGACTACTGCTTAGTGGCAGGGCCCTTGCCAGAAGGCCCTGGGTTCAATTTCCAGAACCACAAAAATAACCCAAAGTCTTTAGTGCATGAGGTGAAGTGCCTATAGTCCCAGCTGCTTGGGGGAACAGTGCTGGGGGCTCACCAGAGCCCGGGGAGTTTTAACTAGCCTGGGCAACATAGCAAGAATGTCTCAAAAATAGTCTTTGTCCTTGAATGTTTTTCCTGTTGAATCACTATTAGTCACTATACAAAAACAGCCACTGCTAAGTACCAGGTAGGGTCTAAGCACTGGCACATATCAACTCACTTAATCTTCTTCTTTTTTTTTTGAGAGAGAGAGAGAGAGAGAATTTTTAATATTTATTTTTTAGTTCTCGGCGGACACAACATCTTTGTTGGTATGTGGTGCTGAGGATCAAACCCAGTGCCTCACCTGTGCTAGGCAAGTGCTCTACCCTTGAGCCACAACCCCAGTACCCCCAGCGCCCCCAGCCCTTTTTATTTTGAGACAGGCTCCTGCTAAGGAGGTGAACTTGTGATCCTTCTGCCTCAACCTCCCAGTTGTTGTGCCATTGTGCCTGGCTCTTTTATAGAAGAAAAAACTGAGGAGCAAARTAACTTCCCTGAGGTGGCCCAGTTCAGGCCTCTGGGCCTTGAGTTTGTACCTCAAACTCTGCACCACAGCCCCACACTAGTCAATTAGCGGATGGGACTACCATCAATCAAGTCCAGATCCATAGCAACGGATCTATGGTGGCCTATGGCTAACAGCTATCCCCAAGTTGGTGGCTCTTACTTTTCTGAATCACAAATTCTTTTGAAAATCTGGTAGAAGCTACAGACACTCTCCCTGGGGGGGGGGGGAACACACATGCAATTCTCTCTCTCTCTCTCTCTCTCTCTCTCTCACACACACACACACACACACACACACACACACAGAGTTTTGTACACACTAGGAAATTCTCAGGTGCCCCTTGAGCCTTTTCAAGGACCTCACCAGGCAAGTGGGCAACAGTGGAAGACGGCTGGGGTGAGTGTTTCAGCCTTGGGATGGGCCTGAGTCTGGAACCAAGGGAAAGCCTTGAAGTTCTAAAAGGTTACATTTAATGAGACAATGGAAATAAAATTCCACACTTATTTTCATTTACTTAGTCTGTGAAAAGAAAAAAGGCAGTCTGTCTGGCCAGACCCCTTTGGACTGATCTGATTACCCAACTTCTCTCCCACACCCAGATAGTTGAACAGTGCTGGGGAAATCTCAGAATTCTGCCGATTTGTGCCAATGCATTTAGGGTTTCTAGTCCCAGTGGGGTCTTTAACACAGCTTGGCAACTCTTACTTGTACCAGACAAATGCTCACACCCAGTTCCCACAATGGTCATTCTAATCCTTCTTTAATGATTCATTAAGCTTTAAAAATTTTCATGTGATAGAAGCACAAATTTTCATTCTTATCCCCTCAAGACTGTTTCTCCTTCCACCTATGCTCTTGACCCTTCAATCTTTTTTTTTTTTTGGTAGATATTTATTTAGAGGCTACCATGATTGGCACTGGGCCAGACTGTTGATATCCAACATCGTCCCTGCTCTCAGAGAGGCAGAAAGACCTCCATTCAACAAATAATTACAATTATAATGAGAGATACTTTAGAGTATTATAGGATATATTGATTTGGGGACTTTAGGAATATCTCCCTGAGAAAATGACATTTACAGCTAATTCTTTAGGGATGATATGTCAGTTAGGAATGCTTTGAGTTACACATAACAGAAACCCTGACTAACAGTGAAACCATACCCATGTTTATTATTTACTCATAATGCCTAAAGCAAAGGGCTTTTGGATCTTTAAGTGGCTCAATAATATCAAGAGCCACAAGTCGACAACTGTACAATTTTCTTTTCTTTTTCTTTCTTTCTTCTTCTTCTTCTTTTTTTTTTTTTTAGAGAGAGAGAGAGAGAGAATTTGAATATTTATTTTTTAGTTCTCGACAGACACAACATCTTTGTTTGTATGTGGTGCTGAGGATCTAACATTTTTGATGGAAAAGAAATGATGAAAGTAGGGCTGGGGATGTGGCTCAAGCTGTAGCGCGCTCACCTGGCATGCGTACTGCCTGGGTTCGATCCTCAGCACCACATACAAACAAAGATGTTGTGTCCGCCAAAAACTAAAAAAATAAATATTAAAAAATTCTCTCCCTCTCTCCCCCTTCTCTAAAAATAAATAAATAAATAAAAATAAATTGCTAAAAAAAAACAACTAAACAAGCCACATGAGGTGGTGCATGCCTGTAATCTTAGCTATTTGGGAGCCCAGCCTGAGCAACTTTAGCCAGACCCTGTCTCCACATAAATAAAAAGGACTGGGGATGTAAGTCGGTGGTAGAGTGCTTGGCTAGTACTTATGAGGCAATGGGTTCAATCCCTAGTACTGTTAAACAAACAAACAAACAAAAAAAAAGCATTACAACTAAACATCTTAACTGGCTTTATTTTCATTCTTAGAATTAGGCAACACTTCATTTCATAAAAGAGCATTCCTATGGGCTGAGCTGAAGAGGTTGGTTTTATACAAAGAAAGTCTGAAGAAAGAAGCAACACAAGAACAAATAGCAAACTGGTATTTCAATTACTTTCCTTGTAAAGTGGGTTACTTCCTCTTTCAGAAATATCTACTATAGGGCTGGGGCTGTAGCTCGGTGGTAGAGTGCTTGCCTTGCAGGTGTGAGGCCCTGGGTTCAATCCTTAACACCACATAAAAACAAATAATAAAGATGTTGTGTCCATCTACAACTAAAAAATATTTTTAAAAAAGGAATTTACTTCTGTTAATGTAGACATATATATATTTGTGTGTGTGTGTAGTGCTGGGGATTGAATGTTAATGGATATTAAACTCTCTCTAGAGCTAACATTCTTAAGATGATGTTTTGGTCCTTTTTATTTTTAGAATATTTTGCACTCTGCCTAACACAAAAAGGATTGTTTTTTATTTAGATGAACTTTGCATATACATCCAATGCTTTGCACACCTTTTCCTTCCTTTCTAACAAAATCCTACTTAAGCTTGAATTCCTTGTGAAGCTTCCATCTTAAGATTGGAAGCCATATGATCACAAAGTCATGAAAAGTTCATTTGTTTACTGTAAAATACTAAGATTTCTATTTGGCCTGACCATAATTGGATGTTTTAAACACTTGCTTGGGATTCCTGCCCTTGCTTTGAACTTCCTCATGCTGGGCTCTCCTTGACCAGATGACAACCCTCCCTGAAATTCCAGCTGCTGGGCTGGGGATGTGGCTCAAGCGGTAGCGCGCTCGCCTGGCATGCGTGCGGCCCGGGTTCGATCCTCAGCACCACATACCAACAAAAGATGTTGTGTCTGCCAAGAACTAAAAAATAAATATTAAAAAAAAAAAAAATTCCAGCTGCTCCTGGTTAACTCTGATGTTGGACTAAGTCTGCTCCCCACCTTGAGATGTTAAAACAATGTAGATCATTAACCTGCTGTCTGCCCTTGTATAATGCTTGCCAGAACCCTGTCAGCTGTAAGCTCCCAAGACACCTCTCTTTTTGTAACTTTTTGTGTTATAAAAACTTCCCTGTAATCAGACCAGCTACTTTTCTTTGGCCCTGTTTTTCTGGGTGAGACAGTCGCTCATCAGCTCTCTTATGTACACAATATAAGCTTGCTTTAATTTGGTTTAAATTTGAGTGGGTGGTCTTTCTTCACATTGTGGTTCAACAAAGCTTCCRCATATTTCTCTACATAGTTAAGAGAGCTCTGACTCCTTTATCTTCCGCCCCTAAACTGAACAAATTACATATTAATAGTTTATTTATACAACTAATTGCTGTAAATGTTAACACTGTCACCTTTTCTTGCTAAAAAAAATTTTACCCTTGCTTCCAGGCTCCATCCAAACTCACCTCCTCCACTAATAGTTCGTTAGAGATACATGCACATCCATGTTAACTGCAGCATAATTCACAACGACAATTTATGGAATCAGCCTAGGTGTTCATCAACAGATGAATGAATAAAAAAAAATGTAGTATATATACACAATAGTCTTTTTTTTCAGCCATAAAGAACAAAATTATGTAATTTGCAGAAATATAGATGAGCATTTTGGGTGAAATAAGCCAAATTCATAGATAAAAGTTATGTTTTCCCTCATATGTGGAAGCTAAAAGGGAAAAACGGGAAAAAAGAGACACCACGAAGTAGAAGCATGACCATTAATGTAGAGGAGGGAGCAGGGGAGCTGGGGGGGTAAGTGTAACCGATCACACTGTATTTTTATATATACCACATTGTGCTACTGCACCGCAATGAAACCCATCATTCCGTATAATGGAGATGAAAAAAATAAATGCAAAAGAAAATACCAAAAAAAAAAAAAAAAAAAAAAGTTGGCTGGTGCCCAGGCGTTGGTGTTAACTCCCAGCACTGGGCCTCACAGCCGCCCCGTCACCGTGTGGGGTTCCTTTCCTCCCCTCCCGACCCAGTGCGTGGCCAGAGCTCGGACGAGCTCCGCTGCAGCGTTGGGCTCCCCGCCGGGGCGCGAGAAAGTCTCCGGGCGCAGCCAGCGAAAACAGCTGTCTCTGTGGGCGGGACCTCCCGTCCGGGTCGGGTGCCCCCGGCCAGAACGCAACCGGACGCCCGAGGCCCGCTCGGACCCGGCCAGGACGCAGGCGGCGGCGGACACCAGCGGAGCCCGCCGAGCACTTGTCCCGCCCCGCCCCTCCTCCCAGCCGCGCAGGCGCCTCGCCCGTCGTCCGCGCAGGCGCATCTCGCCCCACGCCCGCGCAGGCGCAGTCTCGCCGGCGTGGGACGCCGAAGGGTTTYCCGCTCGCAGACTCTCGTGCTGACGAGGTGGGGAGACCTGCCGGCGCAGGCTGGCTGAAGACCGTCTGGTCAGAAAACGAGTGAAAAAACAAAAGACTGTGGAGGGAAGGGAAGTGGCGGGTGTCGCCTGCCTGGAGCTACTGGAGAGCAGTTGGCCCAGGTTGGGGCGGCACCGTCCTTCTGGGCCCCGCGCCCTGACGGGTGAGGAGACGCGGCGTCTGGGCAGTGGGTGACACAGGCCCGCCCTGCGGCCCAGCGCCGTCTGGGGTCCAGGGTCCATTTTTTTCAGCTCCAGCCTTGAGGCTGCAGTTTCCTGGGGGCAGCTTCGTAGGGCTTGAGWGTCACTGTCACCGCCCCTTTTCTGGTCTAATTTGTGGCCCGGGATTCTAGCCCCACTTCCCGGGGAATGGGCACGACACTAGGAACTGGCCTCCTGGGCTCCTGCTTGGGGTCGCTGCCAGCTAGACATTGTAAGAAACAAACCCAAGCCCGTCCTCTGATGGCATCACCTTCAGCAGCACCTGAGAGGAAGACGCCAGCTCATGCTTCTGCCAGAGGCATCACTACACCCTGCTGCCGCGAAGCCCACTCTGACCCTGCCCTGGTCCTGTCCTGCATCGGGCAGCCCAGAGCACAACATTGTTATGCCCGCAGACAGGTTCTGGACTGAKAATAACTCCGGGGCCGCGGGCCCCTGGTGCCTGCCCGTAAATCCTAGCTAATTGGGATTCTTTACAGTACAGACAGGGGTCCACTCAATGGATGTTGAACGAATCAGTGCATGAACTTCAAAGATTAAAAATGGGGATTTTAAAATGTCAGTCTGAGGGCTAGGGTGTAGCTCAGTGGCAGAGGCCATGGGTGAGGCTCTGAGCTGAATACCGAGTACAAAAAAGAAAAAAAAAAAAAGGCTGAGCTGGTTTGGGGATAGAGTTCAGTGGCAGAGTGTGTGCACTCTACCAGTGTGAGGCACTGTGTTTGATTCCCCATACCACAAAATTAAGTAAAATGTCAGGCTGAGTGGTGGCATTTTGGGAACTCATCAAGGACGTGAACTACTCTCTTTTTAGTGTTTATTTTTTTATTAGACAATTTCCTTTGTTTTTCTTTGAGGCTCAAGGAGTACATTACTAAACATAAATTCTGTTGGCTCCCATATAAAATTATTGGAGATGATGCTAAAACTTTTAACAGCAAGAGAAAAACACCCAAATATAGGCATGAACCATCTTTTTCACCTTAAAATTGGACAGCTAACTAAAAAAGGTTGCACTCCCTTTAAAATGTGTGAATAAGTTCAAAATGACTAGTAGTAAAGTTAAGTCATTTAGTTATGGTCTCACCACAGCCTGTGGAACATTGTCTGCTCCTTAGTGAGGGCAGGGCAGTAGGCCTCAGGGGCCAATGAAGGAAATCCAAGCAGGCTTAGAGGGTGTGTTTGTGTGTTACAGACAATAAGGACACCAAATCCAAGAGGTGGTTACTATAATGAATGTTCAAGGAGGGTGGGGTTCTCCCCTTCCGATCCTTCAAAGCTCTGGAGTGACTCATTCTTCCTTGGACTCAGGGGTAGGGCTGATATTTGTTCCCCCTGTTGGGACCTGCTCCCCCTGACCCCTGGCATCCCCAGTGTCTCCAGCCACTAGAGCCACATTCCTCAAATAATTGATGTTGAAACAGTTGGTCTGTTCATCCCCAGGACTCAAATCACAGCAGAAGGCAGAATCTCTCCAGAAGTTCCGTCGGGGACCACACAGATCATCCACGAAGGCTGATTTCTGATGAACAAAAGGAGAAAAGCAGGGGCTGTGGCCGTGGCTCAGTGGTAGAGTGCTTGCCTAGCATGCATGAGGCACTGGGTTCAATCCTCAGCACCACTTAAAAATAAAACAAAGATATAGTGTCCAACTAAAACTAAAAAATAAACATTAAAAAAAAGGAGAAAAGCAGAGATGATGGGGGTGGGGAAATGTCAGAGGTCCAGTGTGGCTACTTGGGTGCCCAAAGTCCTCCTCTTGCCAGCTTGTACTGCTCACCCCTGGGATCCCTTCCTGGAACCCAGAGATAGTGCATGCCTGCCTTGCACAGCTGGATTCCTTGTGGCTGACAGATGTGCACATCTGTAAATGCCAGGAAGCTTTGACGCCCAGAGAAGGAATAATAGGAACTTAGGCGTGGGGAGCAGACCAGATCAGGAATGAAGACTCTAGAACTAAGGAAAAAAAGACCCCTTCCTCAAGTCCTCATTGTTTCTGTGGGCTGATTTGAGGTACTAAAGAAAAGGGGCAGCCTGCAGTTATAGCCCCCTCCTCCCCCTCTCCTGCATTCCTCTGGAGACTGTGACCCCTTCCTCACACACTTACCTCCTCTTCAGCACAGCAGGCCTGTTCCGGAAGTGGCAGGTTACAGCAGCGGGCAGTCATGTTCTGGATTAGCCCAGGAATCTGTTTACTATGTTGGTGTGAAAGAGGCAGGGATCAGGATCTCTGGGCGTCTCTTGGCACCAGAGCGTTACAGGGAGACTATGTTTTCTTTTTTTTTTTTTTTTCCTTCCTCAAAGGGCACACCAGAAGGAAGGGAGGAGTATTGGGGAAGATCTGAGCAAGACTCACTGCTTGGTAAGAACTCTTCGGTTTCCACAGAGATGGCCCATGAGGTTGGGAGTGACTCGGCCGAGGTCAAGGGTCAAAATGTCCCTGTCATAGTTGGGATAGGGAGCTTGATGGGCAAAGCACTCATCACGGGCAGGGCTAGGAGGGTAGTGGCAACAGGTGTGGTGGTGGGTCTTTGTAGCCTGCTCCTTGTCACAGTACCCATCCAGGGCATCCTCCCACTGTGGGCCAGAGAGAGAAGTCAGAAGCTTGGACACTTGGTCCCTTCTCCTCACCATCTACTCCCCTTATCACCCCCAGTTCTGAAATGAGGGACTCCAACCCAAGGGGTCAAAGGGAGGGCAAAGAGCCAGTGGACGAGGAGACAGCTATGGATGGGTGGGCTGGGAAGGTGGAAGGGAGGAAGCAGAGAGGAGGTTGCGTTGGCCACGGGAGACGAGCTGGAACAGTATGTGATCAGTAGGTGATCAGGTGAGGCCAGAGCTGGATGGACGGGTGGCAGACAGGTGGACGTGGGGGTGGGGGGGGTTCATGGGTAGATGAGGCCAGGACGTAGTATAAAGGCTCAAGATGCACAGATTCAGATGATGGACACAATGGGTGGACGGACAGTCACAAGCAGACGAACGTGGACGTGCTCACAACAGGGAGTACATGGATGGACCGTTGGATGCAGAGGTCGGAGATGCAGACAGGCTCTCAGGGGCCTGGGATGCCCACTTACGGCCTTCCATATACAGGTAAGGTTGTTTCCCTGGCGGCAGCAGCGCTGGAACTCCATTTCCAGCTGAGTCAGAGCATGTAGCTGCCTTTGGATGGGATCAGTGGCTGGGAGGTTGCGTGGCACAGAGCGGAAGCGTCTCAGGTGGCAGATGTTCTTGAAATTGTCCAATGTGGGCATCCCAGGGGGAAAAGGCAGCTCCAGGCCCAAGGAAATACCAGGCTGGTGGGTGGGGCAGGCCCGGAGCTGGTAGTGTGGCTGAGGAGCTGCCTCCTGGAAGCAGGAGTATCGAGCCTCCCCTTGCTGTCTGCAGCACCAGTGGGGTCGGGTCTTGACTGAGAACTCGGCCTCACAGAACCGGGTCATTGAATCCTCCCACTAGAGTGAGAAGGTGGGTCAGGCCCAGTAACTCATTGTCCATATTCCTTGCCTTCCTCCCAGGCTGCAGGAAAGGACCCGGGACAGGTGGAGAAGAAAACAGCAGTGGCTGCCCTCTACCTTTCCTACTAGAGAGGTCCAAGGTAGGGCCAGCAACGGGACCTGCGGTTCCTCCATTCCCAGGCCTAGGTGTCTACCCCTTAAAACACACACATGCTGTCTGGGGGCTTACGGACACCCCCAGCATCTTACCACAAGCCTTGCACAGTCCAGGCGGTTGGTGTGGCTGCGGCAGCGACAGCAGCGGGAGTATCCAGTCTCCAGCAAATTGAGGGTCTCACCCTGGCGACTGAGGTGGGAGTAGCCAGACTGTGGCAGGTTCCAGGGGCCGTATACCACATGTTGACGTTCAGGAAGACAGATCTGGTTCAGATTGTCTGGAGAAGGCCGCCCGGGGGGGAAGCCATCCAGCCGGTATCCCCAGCCCCCCCGGAACCGGCCCTGTTGGCAGTGCTGGGCTGGATTCCAAGAGTGAGGCTCTGGGGGATCCTGGCGCATGGGGGGAGCTGGCTTTTCTAGAATGGGGAACAGAGGGGGAAGAGAGAGGATGGGAGGAACTGACAAAGGCTGAGTGAACTGGGAGGATTGAAAGAACTGGGGGTTAAGGAGAAAGGGTTAGGAGGGTAAGGGAAAATGAAGAAATTAATCTGTGGTTCTTACCTTCGGATTGACTGACTGAAAGGAAAAGAGAATTGAAGCATGAAAAGTGTCACCCTCAGAGCTGTCCCTTCCTCCCACGTTTCTGCTCCCTGTGCTGTTTCCCTGCTCCTCTCCCTGGAGTCCTGAGTGGTCATGCAGGGGTATGGACAGACAGATGCTGTCACTCACCCTCTCTCTGCTGGGAATGGAAAATCTCCTCTTGGTATGGGAAAGGTGGGTCTACTGGGGTAGAAGGAGATGTATAAGCAAATATCACATTGGAATGGGCATTTGTAGAAGATAGGCACCTGGCTAGCCCCCATTCATAAAGAGGAACGCAGTAGAGAAGTGAAAATAAATGCTATTTTTGTGTCATTTAATCATAACTATCAAACAGGTATTATTTCCTCAGTTTTATACGTGAAGAAACTAAAGCTTGGTAATTGAGTCATGCCAGGTTACATAAATGGGAAATGGCAGCGCCTGTTTTGTGTGCCTTCAAGGCCCTTGCTCTAGGGTAAGGCTAGGTGAAGGTGGTGTGTGCAGAGGGAGTTGCTTACTTTCCTTCTGTTCAGTACGGGGGTGGGGAGGGGGCAGCTCTTCTTGGAGGGGGATGGCTTCCGGAGGAAGAGGCGGATCCACTGCAAGACAGAGGGGAGGGAGGACTGCAGACCAAAGTCAGCAAGATCTTAGTGGGAGGTAGGAAAGTGGACAAGCACTCACCTTTCTTTCCATTAGAGAGGTGGGGAGGGGGCAGCTCTTCTTGGACAGGTATGGCTTCTGGAGAGGGAGGGGACTGTACTACAGAAGGAGGAGTGTGTGAGCAGCTCACCCCTGCTAGCCAGTGGGGAGAGGGGTGGAGCTGCTTCCCTCCTTCCCGTGTTGAGAGCCAGAGTATCTCAGATTAGAGACTTGAGGGGGTAACTGAGATGGGCACGTGTGGGGTCTTACCTTCCCTCTGTCCCTCAAAAGGAAGGTCATGCTGGGAAGGATCAAGGTGATACACGGGGAAGCCTTGGGCCTGTGGTGGGGAGGGAGGTGCTGCGTAGCCAGCTAGAGACAAGAGGAGAAACTCTGAGTCCCCCTGCTCCTCCTGGACTCTCAGTTCCATAGTTGCTCTTCTAAACTTCTTTCCTTGCTTGCACAGTGTGGATTGAATTTAAAGGCACTCAAYCCCCGAGTCATACCCCTACCTCTTTAAAAAAGAGGCAGGATCCTGATAAATTGCAGAGGCTGGCCTTGAATTTGTGATTCTCCTGACTCAGGTTCCCTAGGTGCTGGGATTACAGAAGAGGGCCACCACACCTGGTCCCCGAACTCTTACCTTCCTGAAGGTACTCTGATCTCAGCTCCTTCTGCCCTGGAGCCTCGTGACCTGGAGAGAGGAAATTGGCGGTGGTTTTAAGGGGCCCTTTGTGGCTCTGAGCAAGGAATGGGGAGACTGTGGAAGTCAAGAGTGTAGGAAGATGACAAGACGTGGCAATGACCTCTATAATATACTGTCCCATGTCCCCTCATCACCCCCACAAACACCTGGATATTATTGACAGGGTTCTGAGAAAGCCTGGGTATTCTGCCTGGCTCAGAGACTGAGTCTGAAGGTTGGGAAGGAGGTTCTGATTTCCCCTGTCAGTGTCTCTACCTCAGGGGTTGTGGCTGCCCTTCCTGTAGCTGCTCTGCTGTGGTGCTCCTCTGGCTTCAGAGGAAGAAGCCGAACCTGAGCTGGTTGAGCCCTCACCTGCCCACCTCCTCCACCAATCTCCTATGCCAGGCCCTTTAACCCTCTGTAGGCCTTCTGAGAAGGAACTCCAGCCAGGAGTGTAAGTGCCTCACTTTAGCTAGTCTCAGCTCCTCCTCAATTTAGGTCTCAAATTTAGGGCCTGCAGGATGGGACAGGCATAGAGAAGGGAATCTCTGGTGACTGATGTGCAGGAAAAAAAGAAGTTAGGAACTGGGAGGGATGATAGCGAGTAGGGCTTTACACACTAGCTCTCTTGCCCCTCTCGGCAGTTTCCCTCCAGAGTTCCGTTTTATTGAGGCATCAAAGCAGAGTGTGTTTATGCCCAGCAGTGGGTGAGACTGAGTGGACAACCCCTTAACCCTTCCTCTAACCAGACAGTGAGTCAGGCAAGGCTCTCTGGGTCAGCAAACCGGTTTTGAGCAGCCTGGGGGCCCCTTTCCCCGCTTCACCTGCCTCGGAGTCCCTCCACCATATACCTCCTCCCCAGGCCGCTTCACCTGCCTCGGAGTCCCTCCACCACATACCTCCTCCCCAGGCCGAGTTCCCTTCCCTCTGTGAATCCACTTACGCGCTCAGTTGCCTACTTGAATCCAATTTTATTTCTTAGCAGTAACCTCTAGGAACCCCTCTGTCTGCTCCCGCCTCCCTGGTTAAAAGGTCCAGTTGGCCAGGCCAACCTTGGGCCTGCTCAGAAGAGGGAGACCAAGTCATCCTGCTAGTGATGAGCTGCCTAGCCAGAGCCCTTCCCTAGTGCTGACCCCACCCCTACTCACCTCCCTCAGAAGTGGCAGAGGCGACAGCCAAATAGGCCAAGACCAAGGCTACTCTGGCCATGGTCCCCATCCTGGAACAAGGACTGGTCACCGGCCACCTAAAAGCTGGGTTGTCTCAGGCAGACCTGGATGTGAAGGAAAGGCTGTGCTGCAGGAACCCTGTTGCTCCGGCTGCTGCTACTGCTATTGTGAACTTCAGGGCCAACTCTGGCTCCCTTTTATATGTTGCCTGTTGTTATCTCCCGCCCCCTTCAGCTTCCTGCCATGACTCAGTGCAGCTGCTCCTCCTTTAGCAGCCACTCCTCCCAAACTCATCCTGAAGCCTCCTCAGAGGACCGAGAAGAATGAAGGTGATGGGAAGAAGTATTCCTAGGACCCTAAGAGAAACCCGTTCAGATCACGGAGCAGCAGACATCTGGGCCCTTAGTTCATGCCTCACTTTTATGTCTGCATGCTGCCTCCTGTGGAACAGGGACCTGACAACCTATGGAACTGGGTCTAGGGAACCAGGGCACTAAGGAACTAACATTGGGAACAGGATAGCTGCCTAAGGTAGCTCCCTACCAGTGAGAGTTGTCCCCAACTCTGGGCAAGGGTAACAAAGTGGAACTCCCATGGATTGAACTCAGGGGCACCTGACCACTGAGCAACATCCCCAGCCCTTTTTTGTTATTTATTTAGAGACAGGGTCTACTGAGTTGCTCAGCACATTGCTTTTTGCTGAGGCTGGCTTTGAACTCATTATCCTCCTGCCTCAGCCTCCTGAGCAGCTGGGATTACAGGCGTGCGCCCAGCAGCCCTTTTGAGATAGTGAGACCCTAAGTTGTTGAGGCTGGGGCTTTGAACTTGTGATTCTCCTGCTCAGCCTCCTGAGCTCCCATTCCCAGCCAGTGTGGAACTCCTTTTTGTCCTCCTTTCAGGAGTCAGAGATCAGACACAAATATAGCAGCTTCAAGTTTATTTTTTCCATTTCATTCCCCTCACATCCAAACACCATATCTTCCCTCCCGCTGTGGGGTCCCCAAACCAAGTCTCTTTTTGCATTGCTGGGAATAGAACTCAGGACCTCATGCTTGCTAGGCAAATGCTCTGCCACTGAACTGCCTCCCCAGCCCCCAAGTCTTTTCAGGAGAGCAGATACATGCAATTCTGAGGATTCTGGGGGACTCCAGGCTGTTAGTAGGGCTCGGGTTTATCAGGGAGGCTGACAACTCTTGCAGGTCTCTGTCTCATGTATGAACAAAGCTCAGAAGATTTCCTCAGCATTGGGGACCCTGGTATTCTGTAGCTCCAGCAGCCGTTGCACAGCCTTGGTCAAGTCCCACTCCCCAAGTCGGCGATTACTGCGAGTCCGTATGTTCACTGTTCTCTTACTCTGCTCTTGCTGGCCAACCACTGCAGGAAGAGGAAGGGAGGTTTGGGAATCTCAGGACAAAGTCACCGACATGGGATATTTCCTTTTGCTTTGCAGAAACTTTGCGGACTTAAATCTTTAGGAAGGGTGGAAGCAGAGTCTAAATATGGTTTAAAGAATATATTTAGCTGTGCCTTCTCTCCAGTTCACTGTTCATCCTGAGAAGATAAGGAATGCGGAGCCTGGAACATTATTATCATTTCTGGTCAGGAGCCCCAGGGTCAGAGATACTAGAGTCAGCCAGAGAGAGCCAGACAGACCAAGAACTAGATACAGAGAAATGGTAGGTGGGACTGAGAAATGTGGGGCAAGCAGTGGGGTGGGAGGCGGAGGTAGAGGAAGGGGAAGACAGCAGGATTGGGACACATGTGCAAGTCCATGGACTGTGGGGTGGCTTGCTCCAGGTGCTGGTAGGTGAGGGGTGTACCCCAAACTAGAGAATCAGGTGGAGGAATTTCTGTTGCTTATCTTCAAGAGCTCTGAACTGTGGAGAGTGAAGAGAGCAAGGCAGTACTAGACTTTTCTCCTTAAGGCTTTCTCCTTAATCCTTAGGGCTGACTCCATTCATGTGCAGAATAAACAAGGCTAATTAATTAATGCCTCACTAACCTTCCGGTCCCCTTTCTCTTTGATATTTCCTTTGTTAATTAACCCCAAAGAACCCCCCTAGGGTGGGGTTAATAAGAGGAAAACTGTTCTGAGGGACAGAAGAGGTTGTGAGGAGGCACATAAAGGAACTTAAAGAAGAATGAGAGACCCAGCTCCGAGGTTCTGGGCTGCCTCTCTCTTACCAAACTGGAAATTGTAGTGGGCGAGCTGGGCCCGGCGCACTCTCCGGCTGAGAGTCACTCCAGAATCAGCATCCAGGTCGCTGACAAGGCCTGCAGCCTGTAGATTCTGTTGAATCTGGGACACATGTTTGGTGACAAGAAATAAATTCAATGGAAGACTGAGGAGCTAGGACAGTCAAACATCCTTCTTCCTTGGTCTGCCCCACTTCCTATCCCTCATCCCCTGCCTCAGTGCTCCCCATAACAAAAATTATCTTTTTCCTCATCTCATTGCTATACTGAGGCCTCCTCTCCATCCCCAACCCACAGCATCTGTGTCGACTCCTACTGGAGAAAGCCCTCCATTATCTCCTGGACTTTGCCTGCTGCTCGCACTCACCTATACCACCCATATTCTCGATTCTCTTTAGAAAGGAAAAATAAAACCAGCTTTACCCAAGATCATTTGTGTACACCTCACCACTGAACTACAACCCCAGATGTTCATTCATTCATTTATTTATTTTTTAAACATTTCTTAAAATGTGTTGATTTGCTTTGTTTATATCTCTGTAGCAGATTGCAGTATTGATTTCAATTCTACAAGCCAATTCACCCCCATCTTTGGGGAGAGAGGGAGAGAGAGAGAGAGAGAGAATTTTAATATTTATTTTTTAGTTATCGGCGGACACAACATCTTTGTATGTGGTGCTGAGGATAGAACCCGGGCCCGCAGGCATGCCAGGTGAGTGCRCTACCGCTTGAGCCACATCCCCAGCCCCTGTTCATTTATTTTTTATTTTCAGGCAGGATCTTGCTAAGTTACCTAGGCTGACCTTGAACTT